ATGACGTCACAGTTTAATGTTTAGGTTTTGTTTGAAAAACCTTGTTCAAATTTTTAACACTTATTGAGTAACAACAAAATGTGAATGTTTTGTTTGTAACTTACGTCAAATTCAAGTTAATACTATTCAAATTAATGCATGATGTTAACAACGAGCAGTTTTTAGTTTCAGGTGTTTTTTTTTCGCCTCTTCTTTTGGAATTCGCATATTCATTTTTCCTTGCCAAAAGAGTTTTTTTATCATTGTGTGGAGTGACAATAATGCTTCGAGTTTTCCTTAAATAAAATAATTATGGTGAAGATTGATGACGGATTGTAAAAACCTATGAAAATACATTGCATTCCTTCCAAAATATGTACAAAATAGAACAATACGTAGTTTGGAAATGTAAATTTTATATAAGTAGAAAATTGCGTGGTTTATACAAACCTTAATTTTTTGCATCTTTATCAAGCAGGGTAACATTCAATTAAACATAAAAAGGTATTAAAGTCTATTCATTAATAACAATTGAGAACCACTGAATACAATAGTTCAATAACATTTAGAGTAGACAGTAGAACAATTGTGAAAATAAAGATTTATTCAAAGTAATGAATGAATGAATGAATATCGTGTTCAATACAAGACTTTGTAAAAAGTAACAGTTTGTTAAAATATTAATTTGACTATATAAAGAAAAGGTTTATTGCTTTTTGCTTTTCGAGGGTTTAATTTATTATTTTAAGGTTTTTTTTGTGGCTATTATTTTTGTAAAATACGACTCTGCATCAAAATTTGTGAGTCAACAATCCCCCTAAATTCTACCACCCTTAGGGTACGATTTTTGGTTTAATTTTTGTTTATCTGGGATGAACTTCGAGGTATACCCTATCCAATAAAAAAGAATCATTAAAATCGGACTACTATGTATAAAAATTATGGTGAGTGAACAATCAATCATGGCCTGTTTTCCTACCCTTAGGGTTTGAATTATTTTTCCAAATTTACATGGGACTAAGCTCGGAGTGTTTCCAATAAAAATGTAATTAAATAAAACTTGTTTTAACGGGAACTTTATTTATTTATTGACGTTTCGCAGTCTTTTCAGGTCTGCATCGTCAGAATAATGATTTTTTATATACTTTGTCGAGCGCCCTTCGAAAGACTTTTATTGAGCGTTCGAATATTTCATTGGAAGATTTTTAAAATTTTATTGTCTATGTATGAATTTATAACTTAATTTAGTTGATAAAGTACTTTATTTAAAATTATTTTTTGTAATTTTGAGTTTATTTATTTGACCCTAACTACAGTAAACTACCACCGGTTCCAAAATTGGGAGACCTTTCTGAGAAGAACCGGCGAAACAAACTCAGAGAGGCTTTCTATCTCCTTCTTATATTAAATCATGCAATCTTGAGATTTTATCTCTTGTATAATGGGTTCCCAAGCTGGTGGTATATACCAACCATCTTTCCTATTAAAATTTGGATATTTTTTAATCTCAATAGTCACGCGTATCATTCTACGAATGAATCGTTGCTCAGTTGCTGAAAAGGCTGCGAAACGTCAATAAATAAATAAAGTTCGTGCATTAACCCGTTAAAACTAGTTTTATTTAAGGAGTGAAAACCTAAGAATAAAAAAAAATATCAAAATAGGAATACTCTGTAGTTTGCGTGATCTTGATCATACATAAAAAAACATCTCATTGCGTCAAATTGAGAGCTTCTTCCGTTTTTGAAAATTGAATTGAAATGTAATTCATTGATACTATGTAAATACGATTGAGAAGTACATAGATACTATTGGAAAGATTTGGAGAGAGAGAGGTAGCATTTATCAACCCAATTAATCAGCAGGCAACGACATCTAATTATAGCTTCACATTGTGAGAGCTATTTATATGGTACTTATTTGTTGAATTTTAATCATACATTTTGTACTAAAAATAACTTGGAAGACTTGGCTAATATATGATTTGTAATAAATACAGTATATAAACTGTGTCGAATAAAATTCCGAAGACGACGTAATTTTGATGCTTGCCAATGCCAATACGCAACACAAATAAATAAATAAATTTAAGCCGTATACCAAAATTGTTTAAAATTGTTGAAAGACAACGCCGAAAGATACAAATAGCTTACTTCCCTGTGTTGTTAAACCTTTTTTTTTTTACAAAATTTGACAATGTTGGAAATACCTGTTACATATTGTTAGTTTTTTTATGTTTGGGCTATATCGTCATACGTCAGCTTTGTTAATTCACACACTCTAGCTAAGTACGACTTTGACTATACCTTATTATTAACGTGTAAAAATTTGCTATGTTTGCTTGCGTTACGTACGAATCCGGTCTTTGTGCTTATGTAATCGACTTAATGGCTAGAGGTTTCTCGATGGATGCGCCTATGTGTGATAGTAAAGGCTTAGCGACTTTGCCAAACATATGGTGAGGAAGAATCGTATTATTTCGAACTTTTTGAAGTTTATTACGGCATATTGTGGCTTGGATTTGGACACCTTTTTGAGGAAACGCCCACATTATGCAAAGAATACAGCCAGTTTTTTCATGTTATGGGGGGCATACGAGCAGACGGTTCACCTGATGTTAAATGATCACCGTCGCCCATGGACACTTGCAACACCAGGAGTATCACAAATGTGATGCCGGCCTTTAAGGAAGGAGTACGCTCTTTTTTTGAAGGTTTTTGGGTCGTATTGGTCCGGAAACACTGCTGATAATAATATTCTGACTCTCTCTTGCTGGGTCGATCTGTGTGATTTGATAAGTTCTTATGTGATTCTGTCAATAGGATCCAGTAGTAAACATACATAATATAATATTCCAATGTCGATATTATGTACATCTTTTCCGTGTTTGCGTGATGCGTTCGAATCCGGTCCGTGTGTTTTCGAGTGATTAGGCAATCGACCAAAATATTACTCGCCTATTACTACATTGTATAATAGACCAATTGCGGTATAGCAATAAAGAATTTAGATCTTCTAGAGAAATAAATAAAAATTTATGGTTGTCAAACGGACGGACGCAAAGAGTAAACATGAGTCTCAGTTTGAATTTACAGTATGTGTTATTTTAAATAAATATTTCCAACACTCACACCAATTAGCCTGGCCCCAAAGTAAGCACTATAAGGCTTGTGCTATGGGGTACTAGGGTAACGGATAGAATACATATTCCGTACATTTATAAGTATATTCATATAGAAATACATATTAAACATCCATGACTGGAGTACAAATGCTCATATTCATCACACAAACATCTGCCCCCACCGGGACTCGGGACCTCTCGAGTCGGCGATACCATGAAACCCGGCGTACAAACGTCCTCCGTGTCGTCGAAACTCTTTAGACCAGGGTCGATAATTTCGAGTTTTTTTCATTATTAATTTGCATTTTCTGAGAACATTTATCATAGTAGTGTATATTTTTTTATACCATCAGAAAGTAGAGATTTCAACAAACAAAAAACACCCCAACTTTTTTAAAAAAGCAGATATTTTGACGGGAGAATTTTCGATTGAAAATTAGGGTGCTTTTTGGATATTAAGTCAAAATAAGGTGAAAAAATGAAAATTTTAAATCGAAAAATTACTGTATGTTTGGGACATACAAAGGTAAGTTTTTACCAAATTTCGTGAAAAAATTTTTTTTTCGCAAAAAATTAAAATCAAAAACCAAAAACTCGGTTATTCGCATTTTTCACATAAATTTTGAGGTTATGTGGAAAAAGTGTCGATACAAAAGTTGTAGATCTTTTTATTACCTACAACTTTGCCATTTAACTTTTTTTCATAGGACTTGCAGTTTTACCGGAAATCGAGATTAACCATTTTTTACCCTTAAAAACTCACCCCCTCCCCCTTCCCGACCTCAGATCGCCCGTAATTTATTTTTCCTTTCATTTATGTTATATTTTCTACCTTTTCTAATAGGTTTCATCCTACTATAATTTTTTTTCACTTTTCACCATTTTAAAAATTATCGACCCTGGTCTACTTCCATTCCATTCGTCTTACCATTTTGAGGGATAATGCTTTAAAGATACATCACCTAGTAATAGTAAAGTTCCCAGTAAATTCTATAATATCACAATTAAGACAAACATTTCCTGCTTTAATCTCTTTTCTATGTTAAGTATCCCCCACTTTATAAAAGAAGGCAAAACAAACATATTTTTAGTTAAAGTCAAAGTTTTCTATTCATGTCAGCTATACCAGACCGCACATAACGGGACGATGCCTATGCACATGTAGACACCACCCCCAGATAGTCGAGACCGTGCAATCCGGAAGCAGGCTTACCCAACTGCCGAATGCGTCGGATCGTATCAGAGAGAGCAAATTCCTCTCAAGCCCGCACCGTGGTCATCTTCCGCGAGATGGAAGTGTACCAGCCTGTTATGTCGGCTTAACAAAGAGCTGGATGGCAGCGTCTAGTTCTGCGTCTAAAGTCCCTAAGCTTGTTTCCAATAATGTATAACAGGAACCAAGTTCCTAATCGTACGGTACGGTACGGAATAAAAGTGTAGGTAAGGTTTTTCTGTCACCACAGTCAGCTGTTTCGTAGCGTATTGTGTGTAGTTATGTTTATCTTTAGCTTCGTTTCAATCACAGAACACAGAAAGAGGTTAGAAGAGTCTTGTGGGCGGGGCAGGCGCGCCACAGTTATGTGTGAGCAGATGCTCATAACTTGACCAAAACTTGGTTCTGATTGCGTCGTTGCTTTCGGTTGTTAGCGCTGATTGGGTCAATTGTTTGATGTCGCGTCATTTCTTTGGCTATTATCTATTAGGTGGAAGCCGGCGACATCGGTTCCCGTACAGACGGTCTATGAGCACGCTTCTGACCTCTTTCTGTGTTCTGTGGTTCCAACCGAGTGAGGAACGACTGGAGACCCTTCAATCGCTTCGCCCCACGAGCGATTCGTCAAGATCCACGACACTCACGTTTGCTTTTTTTTTAAGTCACTTTGTGTTTGTCCACCAGGGCTGTGCTCCAGCTTGCTATGCGGGCGCACCAAAGAGTTGGAGCTGGGCAGCGCAGGAGGCGTGGGGTCTTCCCTCGCGCTGGCCCTGGTGCGCCCCCCCTTCGCGACCGCCGACGGGCCCTGCCAGCTCAAACTGATAGCCCCTGATGCCGCCGCCTTCGCTGTCAGACTTATAGATGTTAAGGTAGGTTCTCATTCCACATTACTTCTTTAATTTCGTTGGCAATATAAATTTATCAAATATCCGTTATAGGATAAACTGAACGTCGTGTATTTAAAAGTGCAACTTTCAAAAGACAGCCAACGATATTAAATACCCTATATACACCAACACGAACAAAATCGTGGCCGAAACCTGTCCAATAGGTACATTAGACGATTCGCGGAGCTCCGTAATATGATCGCGTAGTCAAAAACAAAATAAGGCATTATTTAAACATTGAAGGTTACCTTTAACGCGTACTGTATACGGTCTTAATTAAAACGCATGCGTCAAAGACTTATGACAGTTCGAAATGGAAGCTCACAAAATTTTACGACTTATTATACGAGGAAAAGAGATGGCTATAGGCGACGTATAACCGAACATGTATTTGAATATCACAAATATTTTATATTAAATCAGTTTACAGTATATATAAGTACAAAATTTGCTTCAAATGCGTTAAATTAACAAACACTGATTAGATATCTGTGGAAAAAACGACGGTTCGGCATCTTAACTTTTCGACGGTCCGCGCGTGACTGAGAACCAAGAAGTGAGAGAGTGCTTGAGTGGACTTCAAGCATTTCTTGATTGGGACACATTTTGAGTGCTCGTGGTGTATCTATGGTATTTAATAATGTTGAAGACAGCAGTGAAATAACCCTTGGTGGTGTGGTATTACTGTTGGTAAGTAGGTTCCAAGGCTTCACTGAGAAGGCGGTTGTTGCGCCACGTATGTAAATAAATAAAAATACCAGACCTTGATAAACCATGTAGACATATTAAGGTTTGGTGGGTGCTAATGACTGCAGATACAGCCGGTATGAATGGCTCAACATGCCTTCCGAAGCAAAAAGAGCTGCTTTTTGAGATTAATTTTTTTTTGGGTAACCTAACTAATGTGCGACCATTTCAAAGTTGAAAAATTTCCATTATTGCAAATAAAAATTATGATCAATTATGCGTAACTATTTTATTGTTCGTTGATTATATTGAATCATACTAAATAGGCTGAATGGAAATGTACACAAATTTACAATTCTATTTCCAATACTTTTTCCGTGATCACTCGAATTTTCATATCACTCCGGAATATTTCTAATAAAGATTTCAATGAAATTAATAAAGGTGATGTTCATCAGAGATTTTTGAAAGTTTTGATATAATTCCTCTGTTGTACTGACGTGATAACTAACTCTTAGTGTCGCCGTACACGGGCCACACGCCACAGCCACAAATGCCGCCACGAGAAGCTAGATGCGGCTACTAAAGTGGCTGAAGCGCGCGACAGCGGCCGACTAAGGTAAGGGAGAGAGGGGTGGGGAATCGCGCGAGTGACGTGTGGCGGCGTTTTGTACCGGCGCATTAAGTGGCCGGTGCGGGCCACAAGAAGCGAGCAACGACGATTTGTAGCGTGTGGCGGCCACCGGCGTACCGTGTGTGGCGAGTCCATATAAAATGTATGAAAACTACAGGAAATATGCCGGTGGCGGCGTTTTGTGGTTGTGGTCGGTGGCCCGTGTGCGACGACACTTAGATCACCATCATAGCCGAACACCTGTTTTTCGCAATGTACTAAAAATACTTCCATCTTTCATGAGAAATATTCGTTCAGCGGAATAAAATGTAGTGTATGAGAATTATTTCTGTAAACATACTATAACTCGCCCAGTGAATAATATTTGCCTGTCACTTTTTTATTGATACAGACAAGACCTCTTTGGAGGATTTTACTTAACTACGAATGTCGTTCTTATTTCTAACGAAATAAAAGACTGAATATTTTTTTCACTGATTTGGACGACTGTACTAAATATATATGTAGTTTGAAAAGTATATTAACATAAGATCGCGTATCCTATTTATCTATTTGAGTCTGAATATTATGGAGAAGTGTAGATTACCAAAAGCGTCATTTTGTGCAATTGTCGGATAGAAGTAGTAGCTGTGTACATTTGTACGTCCTACCAGCGTTGCCGAATTATTTTTCGATTTTGAAACCTTTGTTATATCGAATGCGAGAGATAATTAAATTAGGTAAATAATAAACTTAATTATTAATCATTAGAGTTTCTAGTTAACTTCAAATTTTCAATAATAGGGGTGATGACGGGGTACAGTAAACGAAATTCTATTTAGTCCGTCAGTTAGATGATCAAAAAATAATGGACACGTATTTTTTCTTTGGGCAATCAACCAAAAAATGGGGCTCGTGACGTCACTTTTAAGTGGAAATTGTACTAAAACACACGTTTCATGTCACACGACATTTCAAATCAATATATCTCTGCAATGTTTATATTATGTGAAAAAAGAAAAAATACGTGTCCAATACTTTTTGATAATCTACACCTGATAAACGAAGAAAAAAATATTACTATTTGATTTATAGTTAATTGAAACTCTTATTAATAATAATATTACAAGTTTCAAGTAACGTTAAGCAGGTTCTATGAGGAATTTGAACAAATAACAATCACTTTTTTAATTTCCCTGAAGGTAACTTATTTTTAATATTTAAATTTGGGCTATAAATCGGGACTTCCCGGTTCCTAAAATCAGATTCGATCTGGCAAGCCTTACACCTGACGCGTCGGCTATCTTAGCGATTGAACTTCAAGTGTTTAAAGTCAACAATGCTTTTCTGTCAGAACATTACTTTTCACACCAGAACCCGTGGTTTGATATAAAATTAGAATACGAAATTCATATTTTCGAATCATTCCGGCGAATTCCACTGTAAAAACTGTGTCCTTACAGAACGCATTGCAGGAGCGATGCGGTAACTTGCTATGAAAAAATTATTAATAAAAAAATAATTTAGAATAATGCATATTTAGTTGGCGCTCTGCCTCGAGAAAAAGAAATATCATTTATTTCCTGTTTATCTTTCCCTAAATTCCACGCAATCTTCTATCTGGGTTAACCTTGGAACGCAGAACTTTTAATGTCATAATATGCGGATGGCATAAAATTTATTTCAGACATTCAAACGCATAATTGTGTAAGCCAAAATCATCATCATTAATTTAATATCCACAATAATTAAAAACAGAACCATCATATCTCAGAAAGTTCACACCACAGTCAGAATCGTGTTTTGGAATACCTACTATATTAGTTAGCCTAATATTAGCGCGGTACGCTCGGCTCGCGCTAAGATTAGATCACAACGCTAACCTTACTTAACCTAACCCACTGACCACAAATACCGATAATGCTAAGCGAAACTACGCACAATAAAATTTAAAAAAATATGCCTTACAAATATTCGTTTAAAGAAGATTATGCCAAGTGTGTTATGACAAATTAATTTTGGAGTAACAAGATTCTGTCAGATAGAGAAAACCCCTTCTATATTGGTACATGTTTATACTTGCTTCAGTAACAGAAAAGGAATCTTAGTGGTGCAACATTGTTTTTATTAATAAAGAAAAATATCTCAATACTTCGGACTCAGCAGAAACCATAAGAAACTTCTAATCTTTAACGTTTATAAAAAGACAAATTATTTAAAGTTTTTTTGAGTCGTGCCGCGTCGGTCGCGATCATTAGTTTGGTGTCATCTATTAATAGATAAAGTTCTTTTCTTAGCTTAAGGATATGGAAAGTCTCTTTGCTTTCGCTTTCCAAACGATGATACTTCACATAAAATCTAGGTACGTTTATTTTTATTCGTGTTAAGTTTACCCACTCATACGCATGAGTCAGCCTACGGTGAATCGCAAATTTTTGTAAACACATTTCTCTATATAAAAATAGTGATTTTGAGTGAATAAACAGCATCGTATCACAAGTAATATGAATATCATCTATTCCGTTTGCACTAATCCTCTAAATAATAATATATAAAAAAAACCTCTCGAGCGCAATAGGGTATTTGACAAGTTTTAGAAAACGATCTCACGTTATTGACTAATGTTTGGATGTCGTCCGTTAAAAGTGGATATTCATCATTCTGTTGTGTATTTCAGTAAAAATAACCAAATCAAAAACTCCATTTTCAAGTTGCCGCGAAAACGTTTCTCTGGACAATATGGCGTCTTACTAGTGTGTGACGTCACACGACTGTTATTAAAACGTCAAACGATACAATGTAATGTCACTTTAACCGGAAGTTTACTTGCATGTGACGTCATTTTAGGCTCCGCCAATCCCCAGCGTGTCAGCGGTCACGTGACAATAGATAAGAAAAATATTATCATTTTCGTGGTAATTTTACTATAATAAAATTACGAATTTTTTTTTTGTAAAAATAGTAAAAACCCCTGCAAATATTCATTCTAAACACAGATGTCAACAATTGCCACTTTATTTTTAATACTGGCAAATACCCTATTGTGTTTATATGTGATCTGTTACATAGAAACTTGATTGCGTTTCTTCTAAGTTGATTCAAGTATTTGAAGCTAAAATTTTTTTTCAAAAAAATTATCATTTGAGCATTTGAGACTTTACTAGTACATGAAGTACCCTTTGTAATAAGTGGTCCCAATTCGAAATTGTCCGAAACAGGCTCATCATTTTTTAAACAAAATGTTAAAAATCAATTTACTTACATTTCTGCGATCAAAATGTATCAAAGACCACATTGATTTATGGGTTTATTTGTTAGTCACGCTCGACCATGGGACCATTAACGACAGAATGGCTGACAATGTAATGGAATGATCAATAGCATTGACCAAAGATGATCAATGCGAAACGAGCAACCTTCACACATTTACGCTTATTGTGAGTTCTTAAAGACAGTAAGGTATAGCCTTACTGTCTTTAGTTTACTTTGGTTTACAGCAAAAACATTAATTTAAGGGAAGTACCTACTTATTTGGTATGCCATTTAAAACAATTATGATAATGGTCAATAATTTATGCAAAAGCAGGCAGGTTGTTTTACTAGGTAAATGAAAAATAATGAGCCACACCGCAAAATAATTATTTGGCAGCTTGTTTTTATTATGGTAGCCATACACACTACG